GATGATGATGATGATGATGATGATAATGAGGACGATAATGATGATTATGACCATCACGATGACAATGACGACACTGACGATGATGATGATGATGATGACGACAATGATGATAGTGATGATGCTGATGATGATGATGATGATGACGCTGGAGGAGGATGATGATGCCGATGATGATGGATGATGATGATGATGATGATGATGATGATGAGGATGATATTGATGATTATAATTATCACGATGACATTGACGACACTGACCATGATGATGATGATGACAATGACGACGATGAGGATGATGATGATGATGACGATGGAGAAGGATGATGATGCCGATGATGATGGATGATGATGATGATGAGGATGATAATGATGATTTTGGTGATCACGATGACAATGACGACACTGACGATGATGATGATGATGACAATGACGACGGTGATGATGATGATGAGGACGACAATGACGACAATGATGACAATGATGATGATGATGATGACGATGGAGAAGGATGATGATGATGATGATGATGAGGATGATCGACACTGACGATGATGACGATGATGACGATGGAGGAGGAGGATGATGCCGATGATGATGGATGATGATGATGATGAGGATGACAATGATAATGGTAGTTATGATGATGACGATGACAATGACGACACTGACGATGATGATGATGATAATGATGATTATGATGATGACGATGACAATGACGACACTGACGATGATGATGATGATGATGATGATGACGATGGAGGAGGATGATGATGCCGATGATGATGATGATGATGAGGATGATAATGATGATTATGACGATCACGATGACAATGACGTCATTGTCATCGTCATCATCAACATCATTATCATCCTCCTCATCATCATCATCATCATCATCATCCATCATCATCGGCATCATCATCGGCATCATCATCTTCCTCCATCGTCATCATCATCATCGTCGGTGTCGTCGGTATCATCATAATCATCATTATCTTCCTGATCATCATCATCATCATCCATCATCATCGGCATCATCACCCTCCTCCAGCGTCATCATCATAATCATCATCAGCATCATCATTTTCATCATTGTCGTCATCATCATCATCATCATCGTCAGTGTCAGTGAATGCCCTTCTTGCTAAGGTCGCCAAGCCGGGAGAGCCCGTGCCCACCAGTCGGTCCCTCAAGGCCACTTGCCTCAGTTGGGTGGCCAAAGCGGGAGTCTCGCCTCCTCTACGGAATCTCCTGGGCTACCATGTGGATGCCACGGAATTGTCAGTGAACACCTATTCCCGGGACTTTGAGGGAGCTGGTCCGCGTCTTGTCTTTGATCGCCTCTGGGGCCTTCTCCCCAGACACTACACGCTCCGGGTACTTTGCATTGACTCAACCGTTCACACAGGAGGGAGATGATGCTTCGGACACTGACGATAATGATGATGATGATGACGCTGGAGGAGGATGATGATGATGATGATGAGGATGAGGATGATAATGATGATTATGATGATGACGATGACATTGACGACACCGACGACACCGACGATGATGATGATGATGACGATGGAGGAGGATGATGATGCCGATGATGATGCCGATGATGATGGATGATGATGATGATGATGATGATGATGATGATGATGATGATGATGATGATGATGATGATGATGAGGAGGAGGAGGAGGATGATAATGATGATGATGATGATGATGACGATGACAATGACGACACTGACGATGATGATGATGATGATGATGATGATGATGATGATGATGATGATGATGATGATGATGATGATGACGGTAACAGCGAGAATCGCAAGACCACATCGCTGCAAACATTTGTGCAAAGTGGCTGGCAATCACCAGCGGCCTGGGAAAAGGCCACCCTGTCCAAGCACTCCTCCAACAAGCAGCTGACAACATCAGGAATCTAAGATACGCCCAGCTGCCGCATTTGTATCCATTCATTTTTACATATAAGGAGAGATGCACACAGGCACATCTTTGCAACGAGCAGCACCATGTTAACGACGATTGCTCCAATGCGCCCGGGCACTCGAAAAGGACTGGCCTTCCGTGCACAGAAAGGAGCGGGCAAGCAAAAGCTACTGTTGCAGTCTTCCGGGCACTGAGCTCCAGACCTTTGGCCTTCTGAATGGTCCTGGCCGCTGACAGCCGAACTTGACCAAATTTGAAGCAAGAACCTTCCACCCACCCACACATATCGACGCATGAAGGAGCAACAAAAAGTAGCCTTTCAAAATACGGTCTCTGTTTCTGCCCTAGAACAGTGCAAAGGCGTAACGCAAGTTTTGTTATGCTCAAGGCAGCCTACAAATGCTCGCATTCTTCATTCCCAAAGTCGGCACCCAACATTCCCCTCCACTTCTGTCGCAGCCATCCAGGGATGTTCAATTGGGTGTCTGTGAAAATAGGGGACCCCTATAATTGTGGCTTTCCTGATTGTCCCCCTGTTATTAAACCAACCCACACAGAGTACGCCCAAACACCAGCACCAGCACCAAGCACGCATACACACCAACACCACACACACACACACCAGACACCACACGCTACACACCACACACAAACACCACGCACAAACACAAGGTTACTTTTGGCCTGGGTCGCTCAGCAGCTGCAACAAATATTGCGTGCAAGAGCCGAGCTTCAAGGCATGGTTGGAGGCACAAGGATTTCAGCATCTAGGTGTCTGCCTTTGGGGATGCTCTGTTTGGAGGGTTTAACCGGACATCAAAGGGAAACCGCCCGCTTTGAGGCTATGTAAAGACAAACCCTTGTCAGTCAGCCAGTTAGCAGTGCCAACTGTGAAGCTGACAAATGCACAGCTGCTCCATGTCTCAGGTTTAGCCAGTTGGCAACTGCCGACTGTCCGAAGTTTAGCCAGTTCCAGCGCTGGTTCCACAAAAGCAATGAGGCCGCTGGGTGATTACCAACAAGCAGGTGATTTGTAGCCAACCGTCTGCATCCTGTTGGGCGATTGGAGCAACTCCGGGCCCTCCAAGCCTCCAACCAGGTTCCTCTTTTGCTTGGGCCAAGCGGGGAAAATCACGCTATCCCAACCCTAGAGCGCCCCAGGCCTCCAGTGAACCGTTAGAAGGAAAACCCCCTCAAACCAAAGGCCAAGCGCACAGTCTGGGAAAGCATTCCTGCAAGATCATCCCCCGAACCTTGCCGAGCCCCGCCCTCCCCGCCTCTTTGGACTTGTTCCTGGCATGCCACAAGCCGTCTAAATATGTTCAGGCCAAGCCATCGACCAAACCATGTCGTGCAAATTACAGACGTGGTTTGGGACCATCCAGACCATGGACAAGCCTAAAACGCCTAACCCGTATGAACCCGGAGAGTACATTACTCCATGATGAACATACAACATGCAAACATGTGAGTAATTGTCCGAACCTCCCAATCGGATCGAACCGATGTCCATTGCATCCTGAACATTCTGCATGGCGTTTCCTCATGCAACCAGGAGGGCTCTGCATGGCTGGGTGTAGACCAGCCACAATCAGGGGCTTGGTAAAGAGGGCGCACAATCGAATGCCCAAACCGAGCAGAGGGACTCAACCCCCCCCCCAGTTGCATCTGAACCATGTCCGTTGAAACCCAAGCCCGCCCGACAATCCCAGAAGCCAAAGCATGTTCGGCGCCCAGGGCCCCGCGCGTTTTCGGGGTTCGGCGGTGGATCTCTGCGATGGAACGCCGCAGCATGATGACTTCAGGCTTCTCCGTCTCGCCTCGGCGACATCTGAACGCCTAACTGGGAATCATGAGCGCCCCCCAGTTGCCCGCACTTTGGCTCACCAGGGACACTATGGGAATTGCATCAAAAGGCGATGGTCGTTCAACATGGGAAAATTTTCAGAAACCGTAGTGAGACGCCACAAGAGGGACCATCTAGTAACCGTGGAGGAAGCAATGTCTCGAATTGTGGATCATCCAAAGCAAAATGCTCAATATACTTGCCGACCATCATCCACAAAACTGGCAAGACTCGCAAAGAAGAAGACAAGCAAACACTTGCAACTACTCCAGTGTACATGTTCCTGGCACCTGGCACCCAAAGCAAATGGCTACCCAAACAGCTCAGAATGCCCGTTGACACTTTCACCCCGCTTTTGGGACCATTGGAACTACCAGACCTGGGCCCCCAACGAGCCAATCTGTGGCTAACCCCGCGGGGCTCCGGGCGCTTCTCCTCCGCGAGCTTGCAGTCTTCCAAGGCCTGGCCCCCATGCGGAAAAATGGTCACTCTCCCCCCCCAAGTGGCTGTGGCTCCAAAAACCGGTACCAAAACGGAACCCTGGTAAGTGGAGATATGGACCAAAACCTGCGGTTTGCCCCTCCTGTTTAATTTTGAGCCACACCCAAATGTCCAGCAACCAAGTTGGAAGCCTTTCCTCAAACCAAAGTTGGTTTCTGAAAGTGAATGTTGTGAAGGGCTTCTCACAACTACTCCAGGGGATTCCCTTTCAACCAGCCGAAGGTCAATTTTGAAGATGTCATTTCCATGGCCGCAGCAACAAAAAAAAAGCGGGCCGGGTTTGAAACCGATTTGAGGCCACTGCAAACCATGTCTTGCGTGTGATTCTCACCCCCTGGCTGGAGAAATGTGGGCCTTTGGGCCCCCCCTGCATAGCTTCTTCCTTCCGGCGTCGCGGATGAGGGGAAAAAGCCCATGTTCAAAACTCGACTCACGAGAAAACAGGCACCCTGGCAGACCCTTGCTCAACAAAAGCCTTCCAATGCCCTCTGCAGCAACACTCCGACAGACTCAGTGCCCAAAGGCGGCAGGATCCAGAAAATAAACGCTCTTTTGCTCCTCACGGAGAACAGATCTGTTGACATATGTCTGTTCCAAATCTGGAATAGTCGTCCAACAAATAAAGCTGGACATAGGTTCCACAGCGGCTGGGTGCTTTTGCTTGTGAAACCTGAAATGCCAGAAGCGATGCTAGCAACAAGCAGGGGAGTCAACCGGAAACAGGAGAAGTACCAGGTGGTTTCCCAGGAATCCACCCAACGCCAGCCCAAAAGTCCAGAAAGCACGAGAGATACACCGGATGCGGCTGAAACGCTGCCTGGCTGTGGAGCTTCAACACCACCTCGCGCGAATGGGGGCTGACGCCTTGGGGAAGAGGTATCCTGAAGAACCCCCAGCTGGAGGCTTAGCTTTCCCCAATGCACCACTCGTTTTGAGCGGGTGGCCAAAAGAAGTCCAATCTGCTTGTTCAACACAACAACGGAGAGTTGTGAAGTGACATATGGCCTTAGACTGTGGAGCAAGGCCAAGTCAAACAAACAAAAGCCCGTTGAACCGTTTTGATCTTTAAGATCAGTGTGGTGCCCGTTGGATTGGGTCAATCACCAACCAAAAGATACAGCCCCAAACCTCAAGGACCTCTGAGACTTTGACTTGACCGCGTCCCAAACTCCACTATCCGCCCCGGAAGTTGGCCTGAGACCCTACGCTCGTGTTCGGTGCAGGCTCATCGTCTGGCTTGGTGGAATCATCCCTATCCCTTCTGCATTCAATCCTACCCCTCCCGCAAAACGTCTTGATAAGAAGCGAGAGGACCATTGTGTGTTCCCCTGCGCTGGTGGCACCCCTGGAATTGCTAGGTGTTCATCCGCTGTTGTGTGGCGGCTGCAACAGATATGTCGGATCCTGGCCTGCAGGCGTTCATCCACAGTGCAGGAAGAAGCCACCTGCAACAGGATGGTTGGTCGAAGGCCGTAATGCATAGTGCTACTGTGAGACTATCCTACCCTCCCCACATCGCACTTTTGCTGTCCATTTGGATTAAAGGGATGCCCCGCTTCCATGCTAGAGGCTGGGCGAATTGTAGCCATATGTGGCCCACACCTGGGGTATATGTCAGCTTCGGATTTATCCGGAGGGCCGAAATAGTCGGAGGCTGCCGATCAATACTAGGTAGGTCCTCTGATTAGATAATGTCTCAAATTTAGTACGTCGACACGATATCCAAATTCAATTTGGAGGAGACCCCAACCCCAACTGTTTGTGGGTGGGGCCATGCCAACCTGCGGTCGCTTTTCAATTCCAACCATGTGTGCATACTCACAATCACACCGCGCCTCCAAGTCTTCCTGCAAAGATCGGCGCACTGAATGCAGGCGCTCTAAGTTCTCAATGCTGACCTCGGTGACCCAGCGACTCCTGATCTTGCCTAGTAAGCTTGTGCAAATGAACCTGGAATCCACAAAACACTATTTGTACTGAAATCTGCTTTTGCTTGGCCTCCTTTCATCTCGCCTGATAAACCGCTGCAAACCAAATGCTGCGACATGTTCCGCACAAACATCATCAAGCAGCCGGCCAACAAAAAGCCACATTCGCACCAGCTAAGACGGAAAAAAAATAAAATAAAATAGAAAAAACAAACACAGCAACACTTCAGGTGACATTCCAAACGGTAAGTCTTCCAACAGTGCCTTTCGCCGAGGCAGGGTGTGGCACCCTGCATGCTATGCTGGGGCACACCCTGCATGCGCAACCTGTGGACTGCAACCTCTGACAAGGCGCCTCTCCCTTTGAATGTCATTCAACGATAAGTGAAAGTAGGTTGGTCCAGGCAGTGATGCGTGAAACCTAATTTAAGTGGAAACGACTGGGATGTCTAGAATGTCGCCATGCATGCTTGTTTGCTTCTTACGGAAACAACCATCAAGTACGTATGGTTCAAGATATTGGCACCGAACATAGTCGGACGACTCATGGCCCGATGCTGAAATTCAAAATTTAGCCGTCCACGAGCGCATGGACATATGCGCTGACAGAATCATGCATGCAGGAAGGCTGGACCAGCCAAAACACCATCAACAGATCTTATTTCCCAGGGGCGAGGATTGCACCAATGATTTCAGATCACCCACCCCCTGGGAATTGCCACCTTGAAATACCTCCAACACAAGCAGAAACCGTGCCCAACGCGCCCTTTCGCCCACCAAGTTGCATCTGAGGTGATGGTGCACAAGGCGCGATGCGCCCTGGACAGGGAGTCCAAGGCCTGGCCTGAGAATGAGCTTGCGGCGAACGCACCGGGCCCAGAACTAAGATCAAGTCGAAAGCTGGGGGCATGTTGCGGAGAAGGGGGTGGTGCTCCTTGGGTGTGGAAGGGGCAGCTAAAAAACATGCAGAGCATTGTTGTAGAACGTAACGATAGTGGGATCCATGTGGGATCCCCATCCCTATGCCGATTGTTGCCCCCACAGCCATGACGAAGAGCCACAAGAAGGAAGTGCGCAGCGTCAAAAGCAAGTAGTCCGCAAGACACACTGGCTGCGCAAAGGGATGCTTAGCTAAAACGTCAAGTCAAAACATGCGCCCCTGCGGCATGAAGACCCGAATCCAAGTCTGGTAGGCTTACAGTGAAGGGAGGCATCGGACCTGACATGGAACACCCACCCATTCAAGCAGGGCTTTACCAATCAACTGGGTTTCAATCAACGTCAAACTTCCTTGCCCCACTTTGCTGGGATGCCGTGCGCAGGTAATCACTGTGCCGGGCCGGGGCAGTCTTGGCCGGGGCTGGGGTTGCCTGACGGAAACGCGACAACCCCTGTCCCTGTGACCTTGTGGCAGGCAGCAATTGTTTGGCCCTGCCAAAGTCCGTCGCACACCACGCAAATCAGGAAAAGTGCTACTATGTTTGGAATCGCCAGAGCTGCACCCAAAAATATGTTGCCACGGCTGGGAAATGTATGGACGGATCATGAAGAGTCCAGTCTTTGGACGCCCCTTAGGACAGGGATGCCTTTGGTATCACACACGCACTGACCCATAAACCCTACTGGATGTTTGAACTGCGCCACGGCGAGTTGCATCTAAGGCAACCACGAGCCATTGTCAATTGCAGCGTTTTCGTTGTTCTCTGCTGCAATATCTGGGGAATCAGCCGATAAGCAAGCAACTTGCCGCAGGTAAGGCACACTCCAAAGCACTGGATGCGGGGGGTTGACGCCCTTGGTGGGAATTGGCCACTGGCCAACTGTCTCTTGGACCAGTCTACAGAGGTTGTGGAGAATTGCAGGTTCTGCAATGCCAAAGTGCGCCATCTCTAAGGGCCCAACCACTTTGCATCACTTCACTTTGTCCTTTCTTCAGACAATTTCAAGCATTGGAATCGAAGTTTCGTCGAAATCTTTGCGGACTTCGCACATGCCTTTCCCCGTGCTTGGCGTTCCTTGATTCTGGTTGAGTCTCGTAACACTGCTGGACTTCAGGATGGTGCCTATGCTTTGCTCGCAGCAATTCTTGGGGAAGACTCCTGGCGGGGCACTTTGAATGGAGATTCAGTTGTGCAGTCGTCGCACGGTATCCCGGAAGGTAGCAAGCTTAGACCCCTCTGTTTCAACTTGATACCAAACACACTGGTGAAGAGACTGCGCATGGAGAGGTGCGGGTTGGCCTCTACTGCCTGGGTGCCAGTCGAGTGGAAATCACACCGCTGGTCGGGGCGGGGTGTGCCTGACTTCGTTACAGCCTGCCATATTGCAGATTGTGTTCGGCATGCTTGGCGCTTGCCATCTGCACTGGCCTTGGCGCAGTGCCCTGACCTTGAGGCTACTTGTGCGCGAGCCTTGGATATATTGGACGATGACAGGATACCTATTTTGTTTCATGCTGACGACCCAGTAATCCTTGCATCCAGCCGAGGCGAGGCAAACAGGTGCTTGTCTATCATCGCCGAATGGGCGAATGACATGAAAGTGGAAGTGCATGTGGATCCTTCCAAAACTGTTGTTCAGCCTCTTGCTGCTGACGACTTTGATTGTCATGATTCACCTCTATTTTTCCCAAGGCGTAGTCCCTTACTACCAGTTCCCCTCACTTGTGTCAAACTGCACAAGTGGCTGGGTCTCCGGTGGGCTACCCATGGGAGTTGGACTCAACACGCTATTGCAGTAGTAGCGGCTTGTTCTGGTATGATTGACGCTTTGTGCTCCTTGATCTCTTGCCTTCGTGTTCCTTTGTGCGTGGGTATTCTCCTCTTTGAGCTCAAAGTGGAAAGTGTGCTGAGGTTCGGAACGCATTTGTGGGCTATTGATGATGAGGCAATGTCTTTTATTGTATCTGTTTATGCGCGCTGGGCAAGACAGCTTATTGGCGCAGATCCGTGGAGGAATTCTGCCGTCTGTCAGGGTGAACTCGGCTGGCGCATGGGTGCTCGTGAGCGGGTCGTCCTTGAAGTTGCTTTGGCCCGAGCATTGCTTTGGACACAGGGTGACCGCACTCTTGCTGGATCGGTCTTCAAGAAAGCTCAGGCTTCCTGTGTGCCATCCTGGGTGACTAAGTCCGCATTACTTCGCCAATTTGGGATTCCGGATTGGCCGGTGTGGATGACTGAAGGCATGCCCTCAGGGTCTTACAAGGCTTGTGTTCGCAACCTTCTCGTCGCCTCTTACATCAAGGATTGGAAGGCTGACGTTTCGGCTCATGTCATACCGATGCATTATTTATCAGTTTCGTCGGAGCCTTGTTCTCATTTGACAAAGGCGTTTGCTCTTAGGCTGCCCTGGGTCACTCTTGTTGGCCAGAGATGCGTCATGCGCCTTCGATGTGGTTACGTCTGCCTTGGCCATGTTGGTGGTAAGGTGTCAAAGGCGAGAGTGACCTGGTATATTTTCTGCAACAGACGTTATTCCAGCATGTTTTCGCATGTTGCTTGTGCTTGCCCTTGTCTTAGACAGCTGCGCGGCGAGTGCGAGATCCGTGGCCTGGACTGTTCAACCTTGCTATTTCTGGCTTGTGAACCTGAGCATGTAGCTTATGGTGCCTTGACAAACTTGGCGCGGCACATCTGCGATCAGGCGGATGGCTTTTGGAGAGGCAGACATTAAAGAAGATCGCTGCGGCCGGTGGTGGGCACTGGGAAGAGATGCATGTTGACCGCGGTCTCATGCTGCTGGCCCTGTGTCGTGGGCCCCACCTGCACCTGCCCTTTCGTGGCGGTGTTGTTGCCGTTTTTGCTTGTGCCCACAAGCTGTCCTTTGGGACTGTTAACTAACCAACCAACCAACTACGGCGTAAGTAGCATGATGCAAGGCTCCAAACGTACATGCGCGCGAAACCATCGGTGCCAAGTGCTTCACAAGCCTCCGGCCACCTTTCATTTCGCAGGCAACGTTGGCACCAGCATTGGCTGTCTGTAGCGCAAATGTAGATATGTATTTTTTATTGAATGTAAATGCGAAACGGACTTCTAACTACCAACCTGTAGATCAAATTGTGGGAAGGTCAAGCCACGTGGCTGCTCATCAACCTGTTCAATCTGTTGAAATCCAAAGCTGGAATCTTAGCGGGGATATGGTGAATGATCATATCACCATATATCACCTGATGCGGCCACGCGCAACTCCCAGACTCACAAGGATCCAATATTGGATGGGAGGGTCCTCCCTTTCTGGGTTCCTTTCGAGAAACAGGTCAACCTGTAGGGAACCAACCCTAGGTTCCAGCCCAGCCTGCTCCTGCCGCTCGAGGCCCGGTAACCCTCAGCGAGCGGAGTGACGGACGCCCAGCGCCAGTTGGGATTTGTGTCAAGCAACCATGCTGGATGGGCTTGGTTGACGTTGGAAGGGAAGCAAAAAAATGAATTTTAGCAATCAATTGGGGATTTTCCACGAAATCACAATAAGAAAAAATGCAAAATGCTTCCCAAACAACTATGTGGGGTTGTCTATCAAAATCCACACCATGAGTATCAATCCAAACCTGCCAAAGAAGTTTTGCCAACACAACAAGATTGAAACGCCGGATTTCCGCACCCATTTTGGTTAGGGCTGTCCCCCTACATGTTTCACGTCTACTACCCACGTTTCATTGTGGGCACAAATGTGAGTCCAAGAGTCTGCAAGTCAGCCATGTTGGCCTGGGAATTGCAGGCTGCCCCACTTTCCAAAAGCGCCCGTGACAATGTCAGACCCTTCAAAGAAAACAAGTTCTTCTTGGAATAATGCGTATAGGTGGGCAAACGGCAAACAACCAAATGGCTACAACGTCTGCAACATAGACAAGGTAGTTGCTCCCAAGTGGTTTGTAAGTTGCGATGTTGTGCGCTCAGGTTTGCTTCCTGTTGTATTCTACCCAACTCGGTACGTCGAAAGTTGCATCGCGACTCTTGGCCATTGCCCGACTGTTCATGGTTGAGCTGTTGTCTCACAAATACCAGTGCCAGCCAGGCACAACTCTCTGGGCTTGGATGGCTATTTAAAACGCTCTGGTAACTTTCACTCCCACATGCAATCAACAGCGTCACCCGGTACTCCACGCTTGCTCTATCTTAAGCCTTGATTTCAATTCTATTCCTGCGGAGCACCCATCCTGTTGGAAGGAACATCTTGCGGGTCAGGCTAATGAGCGTCCCCATAAGTCAAAGACAACTGGCAGGCATGACCCAACCATTACACATCAGGGAAGCCTCCAAATCTCGCCATCACAACAAGGTGTTCATGCCCAGTCCGTTGGCACAGAAGTGACCCAGGCCTCTTTGCCTCTCCGTTGCTCCTAGCCAACAGGCTGGGTATACATGTGTGTCGGCGTGGGTGTTGTTCAAAGAAACATTTCAACGACCATGTGCAAAGGCATTCTGGTAAACATGAAAACACACACGCGCAAAAGAAAACATCACATGCAGAATCGTTTCCATACATATATGCAGGCACAAATGCGTGTGCGCCCTCTCGCCCGCACAGCCACTGGCGCTTTCTGATCAGGTCGAGGCTCTTGGAGATGGCACGCCCTCGGAGGAGGAATCCAGGTGCGCGGTGGCGTCCAGGAACGCCATCACATCCTCCACGTGGCTCCTCCAGGCTGGGCTCACTTAGCCCAAGTTTTGTTGAGGACAGCAAGTGCCCCTTTGCTTGAACCACACCCACCCGCAGAAGTAACGGAGGGGTTTTGGACAGAAGCAATTGGTTTGACAACCTGGCCTGTCCACTTAAACAAACTCGCACATATGCGATGTTATGGCGACGTAAACAGGTCAACTTGTGAAATTCGGAGAAATCCAGTGACCCGACTTAGTTGCGGTGCTGAGAAGCCAACGGAACGCCGCTATGTCGAACCCGGCCGCAACCCATGGGTCCTTTCGAAGGGCTTCAAGCGTGCGGTTCCTTTCTTGAGGCCACCCCTTGGGCTTCAAAGGGTCAAAGGGACCTCGGTCATTTCGGGGAAGCTACTGGAAGCAACCCAACATCTTTGCGGTTGATCCCTCTGCAAAAAGTTTAACTGTTTGAGGGTTTAGTGGAAGCCCCCCTTGATGGAAGCAACACACCGAGTTTGCCAGGTTGACAGTTTTGCACACCCGCATCCTGAAGAACCCGTCCTGTCGTTCTCCGCGCGCTCACTGCCCTCGCCTGGTGGCAAAACCGTAAAAAAGAGGGTGCGACAGCGTGTCAATCAAAACCAGAAGGTAAAACGAAATAGTTGAACGGTGTTGGACAACTGAATGGTGTGAATGCTTGGGATCCGCCAAGAATGTAAAGAACAGAGCGGCCGCTTGTGGCGACTGTCCCTCGAATTTCCCAGACTTGATTGTCCTGATGAGCCTGGAGGTCCTCCACAAGGGGATCCAACCGGGATTTCCCCGAGCCCTACTTGCAGCATACCAATACTCGCCTGTATCTTAAACGGGGCAGATGGGAGAAGCCTGGTTGGGCGCCAATTAAGACAGGCATCCTGTTTGCGGTGGCCATTGGGCAAAGAAGGGTGAAGCAAACGGACAGCATCGACGTCTTCGTTGCTCGGCTGGAGGTTGGTGGGTAAATAGGAGATGAGAACAACTGCTTCCTAGCAATGACAAGTCTTGCTCGACCTCACGTATATCCACCGCTTGGTGTAAGAGTATTGGCCACCAGTAAACAACATATCTCAACTATCCAGTGACCCTGGCAAATAAAATCAGATAAAGGAATTGACGACTTTTAGTGGGGGAAGCCACCAAACAAAAGTGGAACCTGCGGATGGCTCTCTCCGAAGGAGCCCCCATCCATTCGGGGTCTTCCAAGGTGCTAAGCCCGAAGCAAAGACCGAAGATGCGGAAAAGCCATGAAGTTCGAACGGGAGCCTTGACAAACGAATCTTCGAACCAAAACACAGCATTTTATTTTGAACAGTAGGCAACATTCACACGGCAAATCACTGAGGGTCATGTTTGCATCCGTTCAACCCGACTCTTGAACAAGGACAGCCCCCGTCAGGCTCCGCCGGCCCAACAAAACCCCGCGCCGTCATCATCGACGGGACCATCTGGAAGCCTGCGAAACCAAAAGATCGGGCCAACAACTGAACTGGTCCCCCAACTGTATAAGTTTGGCATACCTCCAAGGCACCATCCACTTGTCCACAGTCTAAAAAGGACCCTGCTTAATGTGCTTACACTCGTGCCGAGATGGAACCCCAGAAGGGGAAGAAACAGCCGCCTCAACCCAGAACTTCTGGCCCGGCACCAAAAAAACGCTGGAAACTCAGCAAAAATTAGCATGCAAAAGCGACGCTAGCGGTTAGCGGATATCACTGGACCCCTGCAAAGCTGGGCTTGTAGATTCCAGCTCCTTTCAGGCGTCAAGGGCTGCGGTCCCTTGCTTGAACCTATGGTTTCATCACACTCCAGTTAGGCCCCAACATGGCTCTTGTGGCTTGGTTTTCCGAGTTAGCCGGTAGCTTTCAGTCCCTTGTTCGCTTGTTCATCTTTTGCTCGGAGCCAACGAAAACAAGAAAGTGCCCCCCGCCTCTCCCCCCCCCCAAAAGAGCAGGGTCGATGCCAAACAATACCGAAGAGCGCTGCGTTACACAAGGTTGCTGCTTGGACCCCTGACACCTTGGGCTAAGAATCCGATTCCCAGGCGAACAGAACGCAACGGGGCAAATGGATCCGAGCCAACTTGAGACGTCAAACTACATTGCGACAGGCTTTTTGTCATGCTAATTTTGCAGGGCCCAACCGGCGTGTCCAATGGATGCCTGCAATGATCGTAAGGAAATGCCAATCGTTTGTAATATCTGTGATGCTCCGAGCGTGTGTGCAATGCTTTTGACCCAACACAACGGCACATCAAGAGCCAGGAAATTCATCCAATTCCACTACGTCTTGTCGAGAGAACCCTCTAGAGTCTTCGCCTGACTCTAATTGGGAAGCACCCGGAGCGTCTCCGTCCGCCAAAGCTCTCCCTGGAATCTATCTGGATTCAGGATTGGCGGATTGACCCAGCTGTTGCTGATGGGAAAGCATGCTTCTTGGAAGGGCCCTTCAACTAAAGTACAAAAGAGGTCGAAGGCAAATTTTGCCACACGCCTGCAGACATGTTCTTGCATTGGAGGCGCAACCCCGGAATAGGGGACTTGTCTTTGCTTTTTCTCCGAAACAGAACGCAAAGAGGCAGCCTCAAAAACACACCCCGCATGGGTATCACAGCTGGCTTGGCACGCGCTGGCAGCCGAAAGCAACCCTAAACTTCCCGCCAAATGGCTCGAGACTTGCACGATGCTCTTCAATGACCACCATGGCACATGGGGGCCGGCTCTGGAGCAAAGTTAGGACGGCCCAAGGATTGAACTGTTTTGGGTACTGCTAGCTGCAAATAACAATCTAGGAACTCAGCAATGATGAGTGCACAGAGTTGCACCCAAACAGGGCGCGATCCCCCTGTTGGTGCGTCATCTTTGCCACCGTGTGCTAGGCAAAATCAGAACACGCTGTCCGCCGCACAAGAAGAACCCTGAGGGGCCGGTCTTCGGCCCCGAAAGGTCCTGAAAGCCCCAATCGCGCAGGTGCGGTCAGCCATCTAGACCAGGCACAGGTCAGAATGCCAGGAATTTCCAAGAAGGCACCCGGTAAACAAAACCGCTGCAGGCATGGCTTCATGTACCCAACAGGACATGCGAAAGTTGAAAGGACTCTTGGCTTGGGTCCCCAAAGCACCCCATGTCTCTCAAGCGAACACTCGTGTACCAATATGTTGTTTGTTGGCTCTAGGTAGTTGATGACTGTTGATGTTTGACCCCACAGCGAGAATACATAGATGAATGACAACATCTCTGAGCTGTTGCTGGCCAAGGCCGACTCTTCCTGACGAGTGCCGAATATATCTCGGACGTTTTCTTCAGCGACACCCAACACTGTTTTTGTTCCGTATGGGCGACTTGATAGGATCAAGGTCGAAGATTATCCTGATCGGCATGGCCGTTTTATTTGTACAGGTTCACCTTGGCTCAGACCATGAGAAAGGCTTACGGTGCTGCACATGGTAACTCTTCGTACGCAAAAGCTGCTATTGTAGTCAAATCATTGCTGTCCAAAAAATCATTGTTGCATCGTCAAGGCGAGAACGAAAAAAACAATCTTCCGACAAGCCCAGTCTATGTTTAAAGGAAAGGCAGCCGGCTCAGCAAAAAACAAGAAGCCCCCTGTGGAACGGACAGTTACATAAACCATCAGCAAGTATCTGGCGCGTCGCTCAAGCAAAAGTAAGTAACGTGCTACCCACTCCAGTATTGCCCTTGCAAACGAGGGAAAGTGTGGGGAAGGGCGCCCTTTTTTGGCACCTTCGCCCCGCTCACTTTCACACAAAGCTGGGCACCGGCGCCGCAATGTCCAACTCCTCGAAGGAGATCATGCCGCTGCCATCGGTATCCCCCTGACAAGGGACGATCGCAAGGGATGCGGATTCATGTTTTCTTTTTTCGGGGGAAATCGAAACGCCAAGAAGCCGAGAAGCCAAAACGCCAAGAAGCCAAGAAGCCGAAAACAATAACCGCACAACATGCTACTGATCTCGGTTGCTTTCTGCTCCCCTGCTAAAAGTTTGAATTTTAGTGGTTTAATACGGAAAACCCATTAGATGGCAAAAGTTAAAGTCCTAACATCCCTTGGCAAAAGGCACCAAAGTGATATTTGGCATTGTGGCAAAATCCGCTTCTCTGCTGTACGTGCTCACCTTCCCGATTGGATCTTGCTGGCATGAGAGGCGCGGAACCAGGCAGATCTGGATGGGGGCCAAATGGCACCTCACACTTCTCTTGTATTCGTTGACATTTACTGGGCGACTAACTCAACTGGGAGAAAAAACACGAAGCAGGGGCCGTTCCACTAGTGAAGATCTGAGTCACAATCGAAACCTGGTCCCGAAAGAGTCTAACCAAAACAAAGGGTAGATCATCAAAAAAGCCCCCCCCTGAGACTGACGTCTATGCCTCCACCAGGGTTTGATTCTCTGCTTATGTTGCGACGGCGCGCCTCGTTGAAGAACTGGCCCCAGCTGGGGGTCACTGTGATCTCCTTGGATCTCTTCTGGGTGTAGGCCTCAGGTCCGGTCAGGTGCCAGGTTGAGGGCCCGGGGGAAGGGGTTCAGCGCGATAGTCGCAGTCAGCCCAGAAGCTCAGGGAACGCCTAACCCCCCCCCTTTGATCTCCTTTGCCCACAATGGTAGTCACAAGCACATGGCTCATTCTCGGATACCTTGAAGGTGCAAATGATGATTCCAGCAAATGGTGCCAGTGATGCTTGCATGCCAGGCGTGTCCCATGTCTGTGGACGGAGTGGAACCGGCAGGGTGTGTTCTCATGCCTGATGGTGTGCGACATGAACGCAGCAAGCCAAGCCAATTCGCAATCAGCTTCAATCAAAGAAGGCGCACAGGCGGAAAACAAAACAATCTGCAATAAGCACATTTGCACACGGCATGCTATTTGCATAAACCACCTGGGATTACCATTGATTCCCGACATGCTGCAAGTAGGGCAAAGAGAGGTCTGTAATCTGCCATTGCTTTCGGCTGGCTTCGGGGACCGTGTGAAAAAGCAACCTACTGCACCCCATTGCGTCGCCTCATGCGGATGTCTAGAACTGCTTGCGGTTGGCAAAGCCAAGTGTCTCGATGCCAAGTGGTTTGCTCTCGTTTGGTGATCCGCGTTTGTAGGAAAACAATTTGTAGCATATGACGGGCGGGTGGTACAGCTGCGATTGGGTGGAGTAGTGGATACCAGGGAGGGGTGCCTGGGGCATCTTGGTTTGTTGCAAAGGCCAGGGCCTCCGGTGGGCACGGAATTCGTCCACTGCCTTCAGCCGAGATGCGACTAGGGCTTTGTTGAGGCGCTGAGCCACAGCGTGCAGCGCAGGATCCTAAAGAGTTGAAGCATCAACGAAAGAACCAACACCTGTGCCAACGCGTTGCCCATCCACCGCTACCCTATAATCCAAATGTTTAAGTGGCACAGCTTGAAAGAGCAAACTGATTGCTACAAATCGCAAAGATCCAGAGCACTGTCCGGCACTGACAAATGACAAGCACAAGTTTGTCAACAACCTTCTTGATTGAGCAAGAACCTGCCCAGGAAAAGTGCAACTAAAGACCCAGACAATTGCTGAACCCATTCATTCCATTGCCTGTTCGTATGCAATCACTCTGCCCAAAAGTGTTTGATGATCAAGCTCCCATCTGAACATGACAGGCATTCTGACCCTGACAATTGCCTCGAACTTGTGTTTGCCTGCAAAGTTCAGGTGGCACATGCAGCACCGTTTGGCCAGGTCCAGGTACTATAAGTTGCTGTTCGGCCGTCTCTGTCCTGTGGTAGCTGCGACTGCGATCGGAAGGATGTGTCTGACAGGGACCTGGGCACGGAGCTGCCGTCAAATGGCTGGCAGAAACGGGTCGTCCCAAGACGAACTGCCTCTAGGTCCTCCAGTAGAGGTACCCTCTTTTTGTAGTCTATTTTAGTAGGGAAACCCTCCCCCAAAAAAGGGCAAAAGGGCACTACTGGGGGGCAATGTGTTTTGCTCGGCTTCTCCTACAGGTGTCCAGGTGTCCATCCATTTCCTCAACACGCCACTGGAACAGGTGCCACGGCTTGTTACGGGGTCTGGCAAAAAACATCAGACATCCATCCCCTTGTGCTTTGCTTCCGTTCAAACTCCGACGATTGGATATGCCAAAGCAGGGGACCTCCCCAAAAACGATTGTTTTCTGTTGGTTTCCCTTGTCACCAACCCCAAAAAAGGGTCCCTCAAAACCAGATGCGCACGTCAAGTCTCCGGCTGCGGCGCTCGCGAGGTATTGGGGGACCAGGTGGGGCCCCTCCGCTCCTGGCAAAACCGAAATCGATTGGGTTGCAGATCTGTCAAAACAGAGTGGCTACGAACCAACCCCCTGAAGGGAAAAACTCACGCCAAAGGGGAGTGCGTAGCCCAGGGTAAGGACTAAGGATTGCTTTTGAACAGCCACAGCCGTTGTTGAACCTGGCCAAAGCCTTTGGTGATTGAACGGCCTCTTTTTAGTTTACGTTGCAACCAGGGGCCATGACTTGTTTGCGCCAATGTTGAAACCAACCTGGTCTGCAACGAGCATCAACACCAAAAACGCACAGGGGCCCGACCAAATGACAAGTTCATCATTTGGGCGAGCGCAGCTTAGCATAGGGATAGGGATTCCTCTTTTCATGATGGGTCTGCTTTCCTGGCCATTGAAGCGTTTCTCATTTCAGAATGGAGATTAAACAAGCCGTCAACAGCACCATGCGCTACTCCCGCATTATACACCTGCCTGAAGGGGTCCCTCTGATTTTAAAAATAGTGTAGTCAGAGTGAAGCCCTGTCGAAACCTGCAAGCCCGAAGGGGTTCACATGTTGAGCAATTTGAGGGCGAATCCTCTATTATTCCTTTACCCTATGCGCCCTATGAATGCCCAACATGTCCCAAAGCTAAGTTCGAATTGAGAATCAGGCAACAAACCAGTTCTACATTCCCAGAATTCCTGCCGACCCCAACATTAGTCACATTTGGAGGCTCCCCAACGGCTCCCCGAAACAATATGAATATCAATCGGAAAACTCAATTGTGATGTGTAGCTTGGTTGAAATCCAAAAGTGGAGCGATTCCGTTTGATCGTGCTCGGCGCATTACAACATCGGTGTGTGTGCCTGCCACGGGAGGGATCCTAGCGACTGACTCGTGCCCGTGCCACGGGATCACCCCCTGGTTTTTACCTTGGGCCCCACTTCCATCCATGGATCCTGAATGGTGAACTATTCCCACGTGCGAACCCGCCACCCCCTTCTTCAAGCGTGTGGAAACCACAAGTCATAGTTTAAGCAACGTCCTTTAGCAATCGAATCAGGGTCTGTTTTTTGTTTCCCCCTCGATTCCGCCCACTACTGCAGCACAAAAGGCCAGGTAAAGGGTCAATTACCTCCTGAGGCCCCTTGTCAGGTGCCAGACCCTGGGCCCCGCGTGGGACTCCGCGCCTGCACGGCCTCCCGCGGGGACCGCGCGGGCTCCCGTCCCCGCTCCGGCTCGGACGGCGACGTCGGCGCCGTCTCCGCGGGCGCGGACTTTGCGGCGTCCACGGCGGGCGCGGTCTTCGGCTTCGGCCGCTTCGGTGAAACGCCGCCTCGGCCGAGAGCGTCTCAAGGGCTGGCTCGAAGGGATCTTGTCTTGAAGAGCTTGGAGGGCGTTTGGCGCAGATCTTGCGCCTTGCGCATCCACAAACATGCCCCTGACCTTCAAT